CGTGTAAAGAATAAAAAGAGAAAAAAAAAAAAAAAAAAAAAAAATCGTAGCTTCTTTTTCAGTCTTGGGAAAAGCAGGTTGTTTTTTTTTTTAAATTAAAAAAAAAAAATAATAATCAAATAAAAATACCACGAGACTGTTCCTTTGTAAGCTGTGCACGTCTGAGAGCGCAGATGCTGGTGTGACGCTGGGAGAGCTGGAAGGGCCACCACGGCCACGGAGCGTCACCCACCTCCCGCGGGCCAGCGCCGGCAGTCCGTCCAGAACTCTACAACTTCCTCTCTTTATTTTTTTTTTCTTTTTTTTTTTTTGTTTTTCATCCATTTTTTTTTTCATAGAGAAACTGCCTTAGGCTGACTCCATCACAAAAATAGGTTTGTATTTCTCTTTCTTAATAGTTTTATATGTAGTTAATGGAATTGTATTTACAGTATTTTTCTTTTTTTTTTTTTTTTTTTTTTTTTAGAATTCAGTACAGACATTTTCATAAGAACAAAGTGTTCATGAAGTACTAATGACATGATGAAGAAAGTGGAGGGTTTTAAAAGCCCTTGGAAGAATGGTAGGGTTACCAGGAGTTAACTGAATATTAACAGGAGAAGCAAGGAGCATGAGGCAGAACAAGGAATTGAGGGCAGGATGCTGTTGTTCCTGGTCTGGACCTAACAGCCCCTATCAATCACAAACATTGTGTCATGCTGGAAGAATGCACGAATACTGTTTCCAGTGACACTACAGGAAATAATCTAAAACCAAAAGAAACTCCTTAATATAACAGTTACACTATGGTTAGGCTCTCGCTAGATACACAAAGAATTAGAACTACGTGGCTACGAGACTATGTCAAAAGGCTACGAAAAAACGTGGTTTGGAGAGGTTTTAAAAAGAGAGGTGTGTGGGGGGGGAACCCATCAAGAAAATAAAACGAACAAGAAATGGATTTTATATACATACTTTTAAAAGCTGTTGTTTTTATAGTACAGCAGATTCATGAGATGATGAGAGAGATTTTTTTTGTTTGTTTGTTTGTTTGTTTGTTTTTTAAACAACCTAAGTCCGTCGAGTGCCACCTCCCGTTCCGTTGCGTTCTCGGTGATGATGTGGTGCTCAAAGCCTGATGAGGTCACCCAAAGGTGGGACCGCTCAGAAACTTCGCCCCGTCTTGCCCGGACATCCAGAGAGACTCTGCGGGGAGAAGAGAGAGGGAGGAGAGGGCCAGGTAAGGACGGGGGGTGTCAAG